TGAGTTGCTGTGGATTTGTTTCTCCAAAGTACCCAGACTAATACAGGCACCTTCCTTTCCCTGCCTGGTGTCTGTCTTCCCTGGTCCACTCAGAACTCTGGTCTCAAGTCAGAGGTCAGGCTTCAGCTAAGGTGTCCCCCACTGCTCTGTAAAGTCACGTGCACAGCGTCTAAGTTTCTGCAGGGGGGTGGCCTTTCCTCTTATCCTGAGGAACCTAATGGTATGTTCTAAGTACGGAATGCACACAGAGATGACAAATACCAACAATCTGTCGACAACCATTACTGACATAATCAAGGAACAACTGCTGTGTTACCATTTAAGGCTGCCCTACGCATTAGCAATCCTGCATACTGACATGGAAGTCTTTCTCCTCACACACATGTTGGTTGCCCCCGCAGCACACATCATCCTGCCCCATCCTCAAGTCGCTGTGAGAAAGCTTTGCACTGCCCCAAATTCAGCGGCAGTCTCTGCCAGTTCAAAAGTCTGGTGCCTCAGGTGCATCTGCTTGGCTGAGCCCAGGTCACGTGCCCACACCCGTACTTCTAGTACTCTCACTGCCATCGAGTCAATTCTAACTTCTCAGGCCAGAAAGAGTTGAAATTGCCACTCTCCATGAAGGGAGGTAGACTCTGCCTCCCACTCACCAAGACTTTATATAGAATTCTCTGAAAGTAAGGGCATGCGGATGCTAAACAACTTAAAATTCAAACTTTTAGACAAATCACAAAAGCTCACAAGCGTGCCCTTCTTATGACTTAAATACTATTCGCTGTCAGCTCCCAAATTTAGAATCTAAGTCAAGGCTTCTCCTTGGAGTTCATGATCAACTTCCTATGTGACATTGTTCCCATTATCTCAGAAGCATGAAAAGTATTTCAAATATGAGAAGGCTTCCAAAAGTTCTGGAAAAATTCCACTGTCTCTTAATTTCAGTTTTTCCAAAAATGTTTTGAGCCACTCCCAACCCCTCATAAAGCATGCTCCAACTAAACATTTGGTATAACGCTCACCCAGCCATCAGGTCTCTCAAATAAGAAATCTAGGAGTCATTCAAGATCCCTGGGTCTCCCTCATCTCCATATGCAAACAACCAAATTGCTCTGAAAAATCTGTCTGCAAAACTAACTCCGACCTATCTATTCCAGGAGACACATGACCCAATTTCTCTTTTGGAGCTTGACATTCTTCACCTGATGATTCTCGAGAAACATGATATTAGCAAAACATGGCTGCTCTTTTTGACACACACACACACACACAAACACACACACACACACACACACACCTTACATCAAGATCTTTACATCTTGCTCAGAAAATAGTTCTCATATACAACAACAGATGTAGTGCTTAAAACTATGACCATGGCAAATGTATATATAGAGATTAATGTTTATTAGTTGTTACCAGGGGCTGGAAAGAATGGGAAAGGAGGAGTCATTGTTTTGGAAGCATTGAGTTTGTTTATGGTTGTGGCAAACCTGGCGACAGATCAGTGCTGGCTGTCCAACCTGATTAATGTAACTGACACCACTACACTGTACATGGGATAAGTGTCAGATTGGCAAATGTCCTGTGAATCTCTTCAGAAATGTGATGGCTAATTATGAAATTGCTGCTTAAAAGTGCTGCAAAAGAACAAAGGGGCCTGCCCATTAAATCTGCCTCAGAGAAATGAACAGTTAACTGCCAGTTGGGTGTGTCCCAGAAGCAATTTGAAAAGTAAAATCCCCTTCACTTACTCCCACTTTAAGGTCCCAGTGGCCAGGAGGCCATCCAAGATGACAGCGTAGTCACGTGCCTCGAAGCACCTCTCTTATAACCAGGGTCTGAGAACGCGCGAGTGCATTTGGTACAGATACAACTCTTGAACCCTAGGTGTCAAGGGCAAGGCTGAAGAATTGGGCTGAATGCCAAGTGGAAGAAGAGACTATACAAAAACAGCAGACACACAGAATTACAGATCATTGGCGTCCTGTCATTCCTGCTACATTGTTTCCTTGTTAAAAGTGCTAACATTAAACCTTGCCCCCAAGGTGGAAATCATCTTTAATCTTTTCACAAGTACCTAACGTACCGTCCATTTCTTTCCCTGGCCACTGCCAGCCCCACTGTAATAATGACTTATCTCACCTCACTGCAGTCCATTTCCACAGACCAACCAGAGTAATTTTTTCAAACTGCCTTCTCATTGTACCTTAATGTAAAGCCCAGTCAGTTTCTACATGATCTGGTCTAATTTTCCCATACACTGCCCTCATTTCCATGCTGGAACTTGCCTATAGTTCCTTCACTACCATAAGTCATTTTTGTTGTTGTTTAAGATCCTTCTGTATGCTGTTCTGTCTGGCAGATTGGACTTTCCAAACAGAGCTGTAGGAAGAACTCCCACCCCAGAAGTGCTCCGTATCATGTGACTTTACTATTCCTCTCATTGCGATGGGAGTGTGTCTGTGTGTTCTTCCTTTGAATTGGGATGCAGTTATCAGCACAATTAAGAATGACGCTATGTTATTTCGGAAGCTGGTTCATAAAAGGCAATGGAGCTTCTGCCTGGTTGTTTTTTTTAAAAATCATTTTATTGGGGGCTCATACAACTCTTATCACAATCCAGACATCCATCAATTATGTAAAGCACATTTGTACATTCGTCGCCCTCATCAGTCTCACTGCCTGGTTTTCTTGCATCACTTGCTCTTGCTCATGGCGGCTTTATAACAGAACTCACTGTATAACCCTTCAATTCCCCAAACCAAGCCCACTGCCATGGAGTTGATTCCAGTTCAGAGGGGCCCTATAACACAGAGTACAACTGCTCCAACGGCTTTCCAAGGCTGTAAATCTTTACAGAACCCACTGCCCTATCTTTTTCCCACGGGGCAGCTAACTCTTCAGTTAGCAACTCAAGACTTACCGCCCTGTGTCACCAGCTCTCCTTGTATATCCCTTAGTGGTAAGGAAAACAAAGAACTGTGAGGTCATATGGTCACAGAGGAAGGAGCTAAAAGAATAAATATATGCTAGGTATTAAGATCAATGAGGAGTATTCTGAGGTCAGTAGAAAATATGGATAAGGATGGGGGATAGGTAATTTCAATTGGGAAGAAGTTACTGAAAGATGCTTAAGACCTTTAAGTGACATGCAATATGCAATACACACTTAAAATGTTTATTTCTTTCATCCACACTGTCAATATGAAGCTATTTCTTTTGAGTCACATTATTCCCTTAATTTTGTCACAGAGAATATTCCATTTATTATGTAGTTCACGGTCTTCAGGACATGTTCTAAGTAATATATTTGTTAGCAAGGTAGCTTCCACGGGGCAAAACTTACTGTCAATAAAGCTTGAATTTAATTTGTCACATACTTCCAAGGGCAACCAATGTGCAGGTGCTTCGATATTACAGCCTTGAATTCTTCCATTGTTTATGTCTATGCGTATTTTAATTTCCATGTGTGACTGTCCATCTAAAATGTTAAAGGACGTGTTTACACTGAACTTTGGGGTTTTGCCATAGATCCACTCCCAAGTTTGTAGTTCTTTGGCTTTGCTGCCTACTCCTGGAAACAGTGTCTCATCAGCTGGGTCTACGAGGTTAATGTGATTATCAACTTGATGGTGAGCAGCATACTCGGCGGCAATAGCATTTATCAGTTCTTCACAGGTCAGAGTGGAGTCTTTTTCCAAAAGGTTTTTCACTAAGGAAGGTATGCTAGCCGTGGCATTGCTCCTGATCCCTTGGTAAGGACTCTTCAGCAAAGAAGATAAGAAGGCCCCATCGGTACTACATAATAAAGTGCAGTGGTGGTAAGCGGTGGCCCGGCCAATCTTAGAGGCAGTCCCTGAGATTTTAAACTGTCCATCCAGTAGAAGGTCGAATCTCTTGGTAGCCTGCACATCCAGCTGGGGTCGGATGGTATTCAGAGCTCGCAAAATTAACTTCAGATTTTCCATCCTATCATACTTGCGCTTGGTTGTAAAGAAAGTCAAATTGATATTACCAATGTCATGGTAGACGGTCCCTCCCCCACTTCTTCTTCTAGCCAGTTTTATACCTTCTTCTCTCATCAGAGTCAGGTTACATTCTTGCCAAGGATTCTGGTGCCTACCGATTACAACGGAGGGTGTATTTCTCCAAAAGAAAAGAATTGGCTTGCCTTCGAGAGTCATATGCTCGTGGATCCAATCTTCGAAAGCCAGATTTTGGTAAACATCACTGGAAACTGACTGTAAAATAAGCCCATTTTTTACTGTGGCCTTAAAGCCAGCTGCTGGGACCTTATGGTTGCAAAGTAACTGAAAGCAGTTCTTCATTGAAAATGGGATCAGCATGCCTTTAAAAATGGAAGATAAACAAATTAATTGGTTAAAATGGAAAATTAAATTCCACTTTCTAGCACCAATTCTTGGTTATTTAAATCCAAACTTAGCTAATTCTCTAACTATCGAATTGAGTTGTTCTTCTTACTTTTTAGCCTTACCCCAAGTCTTTAGGAACTCTACAATGGAGTGTCAAAGGGACTAAACGATAACAGATCTCAAATCTCAAAAACTTTCAGCTAAATTGACGAAAGCCAGAGATCTTCCCCCAAAGTCAAACAAATTCTTTGGAATTCACAAATAATAAATGCTTACCGAGAAAAAATGTAAAAGTAAAAACAAATTAACAAAAAGAAGACAATAAAATTATCTACATAGTGCCAGGCTATCAGAAAGAATAATGTCTGGGGTCTTAAAGGGTCACAAGTGGAGCCATCTAAATCCACACCCAAGGAGCACACCAGCCTTTGTGACCCAAGGATTATAAATAATAAAATTCAAGATCAGAAGAGGGAATTTTATTAGAGCTTAAATTCTACCTGGCCTGCAGAAGGCTATAGATGACAGTGAACGCCCCAAATCCATTGGCAAAGTCCCTTTAGAGATTAAGCATCCATTGAATTTCCTCTGACCATTGAACAGGGATGTGAATAGTCTCACCCTCAAACAGAGTACATTTGAAAGTGGATTACTATGGATGTAGTTAGGTTAAAATTTAACATTTATCATTGGTTTCCCTTTGACCCATTTTTAATTTGTTCTTTGTTCTATTATCTTCTGCTTTCTCTTGAGGTTTTTCAGTATTTTATTTGGTTACATTGTTGGGTTTGGGGTATTATTTTCTTTGTATGAAATCCAAGATAGGTAAATCCACAGAAACAGTAACTTGATGAATAGTTCCTTAGGGTTATGGCAGGAGAGATTGGGGGTAATGGGGAGCTAATGATGGGTACAAGAATGAATTGAATAAAATATTCTAAAGTTGATTGTGGTGAGAATTGCAAAATTCTATTGCATACATTTAAACTACTGAATTGTGTGGTATGTAAATTATATGCTAATAAAACTATGGAATAAGTAAGTAAAATTAAACTATGGACAATCCACTCCTGCAGATAGTCACAGTTAGCATTTGGTTGTTCCTGTTCTTTTCCCATTCATGTGTATACACATCGAAACCAAACCAAACTCAGTGACATTGAGTTGGTTCTCACTCACAGCGAACCAACAGGGCAGCAGAACTACTCCTGTTGAGTCTCTAAAACTAACTCTGTTGGAGTAGGAAGCCCCTTCTTTCTCCAGCGGAGCAGCTAGTGGTTTCAACCTGTTGACCTTGTGGTTAGCTGCAGCCCAATACATAGCCATTATACCACCAAGGCTCCTCCCTCCGCCAAAAGTAGTGACATAATATTACTTCATACAACCCTAATGATGTTTAAACCACCTTTAATTGCTTAATAGCCAATTGCCAGATATATCACAACCCAATCCATGGTTTAGTTTATAATATTAGAATATTTCTAATTTATGTGTTATCCACATTGTACTCATGCGTATCTCTGAGGACAGTCTGAATTATTACACTGTAATCCATTTTGGGGGGTGGGGGGTGGGGAGACCCTGGGTTGTGTAAATGGTTAAGCGCTCAACTACTAGCGGAAAGGCTGACAGGTCTAACACAGCCAGAGGTGCCCACAAAGGCAGGTCTAGTGGTCTGCTTCCCAAAGCCACGTCCTTGACCGCTCTGCACACACACGGAGGCTACAAGTACATATTGACAACAAATACTTTAAAATCCCTATTTGACTTCTGTATGGAGTATACCAAAGAAAACAAAAGTCCTTTTAGACCAGGGGTCCTCAAACTTTTTAAACAGGGGGCCAGTTCAGTGTCCCTCAGACCGTGGGAGGGCCGGACTACAGTTAAAAAAAACTGAACAAATTCCTATGGGTGCGGGACGAGTGGGCTGCTAAGCAGGACAGGCAGCCGTGGCAAAAACACATGGCAGGTTGGATAAATGTCCTCAGCGGGCCGCATGTGGCCCGCGGGCCATAGTTTGAGGACCCCTGTTTTAGACCATAGGTTCCTAAACTTATTTGGCTTACTTTTCAGGAGGGGAAATATTACTCAGTGTCCCTCTGGCAATTAAAACCTTTTGTACAACAGCCCATATTCCAGGATGGAGTGTAGGTGCCTGCTTTTGCAGCCCCCTGGTTTGTTCTAGGGCCTCCTGGAGGGGGGGTTAGCCCACTTTGGGAAGCACTGATCTAGATCACCAAACATCATGATAACTGATAAAGAAATTGAAGTTGTTGAGGATTTCATTCTACTTAGGTCATCGATCAGTGCCCATGGAAGCAAAAGGGGGAAAAAATCCAATGACACATCACATTGGGAAAATCTGCTGCCAAATCCCTCTCTAAAGTATCAAAAGGTAAAGATGTCAGTTTAAGGGATAAGGTGTGCCTGACCCAACTCATGGAATTTCCAGCGGTCCTCAGATGCATGTGGTAACTGGACAGTAAAAAAGAAGGCTGAAGAACTGATGGATTCTAATTGCGGTTTTGGTGAAAAATATTGACTATAGCACAGGCTGCCAAAATAAGAGGCCTTGCTAACCACAAAGTCGGTGGTTCAAGCCACCAGCCCATCTGTGAGAGAAGATAAAGCAATCTGCTCCCGAAAGATTTATGGCCTCAGAGACCTTATAGGGTTGTTATGTGTTGGAATCTATTCAACGGCAGTGGGTTTGAGCCAGAAGAATGGACAGATTTGTCTTAGAAGCTGTGGAGCCAAAATGCTCTTTGGATAACTTGATCTCCCTTTCTTAGGGCATATCATCAAGAAAGACCAATCACTGGAGAAAGAAAGGCTTGGTGAAATAGAGGATCAATGAAAGAGAGGGAGACCCTTTCTCAATGCCACAGTGGCTGCAAGAATGGGCTCACATGCCAATGTCTGTGAGGATGGTGCAGGACTGAACAAGATTGCATTCTGTGACAAACAAGGTTGCTGAGTCGCACCTAACAACTTAATGGAATAGTTAATATCTCAAGCTAGACTGCCAGGATTCAAATCCCCACTCTGTTCTTTACCAGCTGAGTAACCTAAAGCAAGTGCCTTAGTTGTGACATGCCATTGAGATAGGATTCAACTCAGAGAATTTTATTACAGAGAAAACCCTTTGAAGAATGCATAGTTTAACAGATAAGGCTCGAGAAAGACCAAAGAACACAAGGATCGACAAGAGTCTACTAGAGTATGAGCAAAGAAGGTGTTAGTGATCTTGGAAAGAACCAGGCAAGAGAGTGTGGCAGAGTGGAGACAGTCTGGCTGAGAAGAGGAAGAGGTAAGGGCAGAAGAGAATGTAGAATTAAGAGTATTCAAGGTGAAAGAGGGGAGCAAGTTTAAGTGATAGGGGAAAGTCGGGAAGGAAAGAAGAGGAAGAAGGAGTCCCTGACAAAGTGGTAGTTAGTACTGGGCTCTACAGTTCAGGTAGGGAAGCAGCCTTCAACCAAAGGGGACACCTCTTCCACTGTGACGAGAGAAAACAGGATAGATAGCCAAGCGTTTCTGGCTGGCACTTTCAGGATCGGCTATGTGCACTGAGAATAAATTGGCTGCAATTTTAATTACGTTCGTAAGGTCATGCCTCATTAAAAAGGTGACATTCGCACAAAGATCAGAAGAGCTGAAGGGGTGAGGGTGAGCCATACTTCGTGCCAGAAACTGTACTATGCATTTGAATACATGCACCCTGGAGGTAAAAGAATATGCCCTAACGTATAAGTGTCTGAAAACCCTGAAAGCCAAGTTATTAGTTCACAAAGATCTGTAAGATGCCAAATGAGTATTCAGATCAGTCTTTTCAGATCAGTCTTCAGACTCAGATCAGTCCAATTACTCCAACAAGCCATTTCATTTCAAGTTTGCTTGCTGAGTAGTCAAAATGGGGGAGTTACATGGTTGCAATGTATGATGGGAGAAACCCTGAGGAAACCACCTCAGCTCCTGAGCCTTAGAAATATCCTATCCTTAAAACCCAGTACTTTCTCCCTCCTGGAGAATTCGATTGGCTTAGTGGGTCAACTAAGTGTAAGGTCAGCATTTTGAACCGGCTGATCCCCTGGAGGAAGATGAGACTTTCTACTCCAGTAAAGATTTAGTCTTGGAAACCCACAGGAGCAGTTCTACCCTGTCCCATAAAGGTCACTGTGAGTCAGAATTAACTTGATGGCAGTGAGCTTGGTTTTGGGGGGTTTGAGAAAAACATGTGTATCCAGTTAGGTTGCCTGATAGGGGATTGTTCCTCTCCACGCCTAGAGGGCCCGCTACAGGAAGTTGGAAGCCGATAAAGGCTAAAGGGCACAGGCCAATTCAGGCCCCCAACCAGGGAAGCCTTACACCTAGATAAGCAGTTCCAGAGGTGGGCTTAAATCAGCCAATGGAGTCAATCAGCACCATGGACCAAGCCTCCCTGCAGGCGGGCCTTCGGGTCTCTCCCTCTCCCTCTCCCTCTCCCTCTCTCACACCTACCCTCAGGCCACCACGTGGGTGTGTAGTGCCAAGAGGATGTTTCTGTTCAGTTTACTTTAACGCCTGAAACTTCTTCTATCCTTTATAAAAACCCACTTGGAGCACAAACCAGGCTTCGGTGTGAATTCTATCTCGTGCGAAGCCAAGGACCGAGGTATTTCCCACCTGAGAATCCCAACATTTCTTTTAATCCATCCTTCAGTGTCCACGCCACACCTTTCTTTTGTTGGGAAAAAAAAAATCAAGTTTCAAAGACCTGATAAGATTTTATTTCTTCAAAGTAACTTTACCTCGTAAGGATACACTAATGGCCAACTTTATCATTTTTTTCTCATAGGATAATCTTATGTCCATAATCTCGGGAATTATAGTGCTGACGAAGAATACTGAAAGTGCCGTGGACCACTGAAGAACAAAGCGATCTTAGAAAAAGTACAGCCAGAATGCTCCTTAGTGTGAGGACAGTGGGACTTCATCTCATACTTTGGACATGTTGCTCAGAGACCACTTTTGATAAAGTGGAGGGCAGTGAAATAGAGGAAGGCCGGCGACATGGGGGTCCGACCCAGTGGCTGCAACAACGGGGGCAAACAGAACAAGCGTGAGCATGGGGCAGAGTGGCGCCTTCCATAAGTTGCCCAGAGGGTCCCTGAGTCGGAATGAACTCGAAGGCACTAAACAACAACACAGGATCACTTTGCAAAGCAATTCTTCTGCAACACAAAATATATCACAGTTCCGTCTGGTTTTCTAGGCAGGGCCAGCTCCTTTAAAAAACTCTGCCAGGGCTCTCCTACATAACTCTTGTACAATACATAACTCACTCGGAATCTCATTAAGGCCATTTGTGTGTTTGATTTCGCTTTTGGCTGTTAGTTTGCTCTGTGGGCGTGTACACAGCTGGGATGCAGTACGTCCCACGTTCTTTACTGTGTTCGGGGACCATTCCCTCGTGGAGTTAGGTCTTTCCCAGCGCCGTCCTAAACCGCAGCGCCATCAGCACCCAGGCCGGCAGCCTGCGACGGCGGGCGCGCGCGCGGGTCCCGGGCTTCGGGGCCTCAGGTGCCCGCCTGCCGCTTCACCTCCTGATGGTCAAGGACGTCGGCCGCGCCGGAGGGCCTCGGCGTGCGGCCCGGCACTCTCGGCGGCCCGACATACCCCGCAGTGACCCTGAAGATCCCGCTTCCGGCCTCACTAACCTGCTGTTTCCGGTCGCGCCACGGCCAGGTACCGACTGCTGCGGGAGAAGAGCGTGTGTCCCGGAACACCCGGCAGTCTCCGCCCACGACCTGGCCCCGCCCCGTCCCCGGGCCCCG